TGACTCACAGTGAGTGGGTCCTGTTTTCTGGCTCAAACTTCCAGTCGTTTTGCAAAGAGCCTTCTCCGAGTCAAGAGTGATCCGTGCCTGTGAGGGGCTATGACAGTGTGAGAAGACTCCGTGTTCCCACTCACCAGCCGCATGGCGTGCAGTAGAGCACTCAAGGTTAAAATAGTCACCAAGCTAATGCTGCTTCACATCACTCCATAAACACAGCAACGCTGAGCAGTAGACAGCATATGAAGATACTAAGCACCCCCACCCCCACCCCACCCCACCTATGGCTACACAGTAACTAACGCCTGCCTCAAAACAGAAAGATGAGATTGTAGCCATATATTTTCAGGGTTGTTGAAAACCATAATTCACAGATCCAGGAGCTTCAATTTACTCCAAGTACCTCAAGGTACAGCACAACCTTAGTGTATTAGCTCAGAACCCGTTAGAAAAGGAGGTCCTGAAAGCAGCAAGCGGCGGGTCATCTACGAGGAGAAAAGATGCGATGGCAGTTTATCATTACAAAAAGATATCAGGGTGTCAGGGGCTTAGAGAACAGCTCGCCACTTAAGACTGGCAAAAATGTCTTTCAGGAATGAAGAAAAAGAAAATCATTCTAGAATTTGTCTCCAGTGTTCACTGTAAGAAATTTTAAATCCTTCAAACCAGATCAAATGACACACCCAGTTGAGCCGGGATTGACTCAGGAGCAAGTTCCAGGCCAGCCTGGTCTTCATAGCAAGTTCTAGGCCTGATAGACCTGGAAGACCCCCCCCCCTTTTTTAAATAAGATTTCCTGTGTGTGAAGCATGTATGTGTGTAGGCCATGTGCATGCAGGGTCCACAGGGCCCAGAGAGTGTTGGGTCCCTGGGACTGGAGTTACAGATGGTTGTGAGCCATCTGTGTGGGCTGGAAATGAACCTGAGTTTAGAAGAAGTTTAAGCCATACCTGTTTGTGTCTCCTCTGTGTGTCTGTGGAGGAGGGCTCAGCTTGCAGAGGCTCTGGATTCCATTGCAGCCGCCATAGGGCGGCTCCAGTTCAGGTGGTCTGATGCCTCTTTCTGACCTCCATGGGCTTCTGCAGGTTTGTCCAGGACAGCCAGGACTACAGAGAAACCCTGTCTTGTAAAACTAGGGAGGGGTTTGGGGAGGAAAAACGTGCTTTGGGTGATGGCTCCATCCCTAAAGTGGCTTTTACACAAACATGATACCCTGAGTTCAGAGCCCACATGAGAACCAAGTTGGGTTTCTGGAACCCTGGTCAGCCAGTCCACCCTAATCATACATGCACACAAAATACAGGCATGTGCGTGTACCCTTACACACGCACACACACACATACAGGAAAACAGAAGTTCTGTAAATATAAAACTAAGGAAGTTTAAAAGGCGAGCCGGGCAGTAGTGGCTCACACCTTTAATCCCAGCACTGGGGCGAGGGGACAGAAGCAGTTCAAGGACAGCCAGGGCTACACAGAGAAACCCTTGTCTTGAAAAACAAAACAAAAAAGTTTAAAAGGCCCAGAAAATCAACAGATAGAGTGGTCCCATCAAGCAAAGCAGTTTTCCTGTCAGGCTGCATTGACACACAGAAAACATAGTCCGAGTGTTAACTTTTTATATGTGTTCTTTGCATTCCAATCCCAGTCCCCTTCCCTCCTCTCCTCCCCCTCTCTCCTCCTTCCCCCTTCCCGCTTCTCCCTGCTTCCCTTCTGCTCCTCAGATGTCAACTAAGTCTGTCCCCTCACCTCGTTGAGGCAGAACCAAGGCGCCGCCGCCGCCACCACCACCACCATGTCTAGGCTGAGCAAGGTAACCCTCCATAGAGAGTGGGCTCCAACAAGTCAGTCTGTGCACTAGAGTTAGATCCTGGTCCCACCGCCAGTGGCCTCATGTATTGTCCCAGTCACACCACTGTCACCGTATTCGGGGGTCCTAGTTCAGTCCTGTGCCGGTTCCCATTTGTCAGATGTGAGTCTGTGATCTCGCACGAGCTCGGGTCAGCTGATTCTGTGGGTTTCTCCATCGTGGTCTTTATTCCTTTGTTCATAGTATCTCTCCTCCCTAACTCCGATTGTAGCCTGGTAGTTCTGCCCAATGGTTAGTTGTGGATTTGTGCATCTGCTTCCATCTGTTTCTAGAAGAGGATTCTAGCTTCTCTGGGGTTGTGGATTGTAGGCTGGTTATACTGTGCTTTATGTCTGGTATCCACTTATGAGTTAGTACATATGATATTTGTCTTTTGGGTTGCTTTACTCAGGATGTTTTGTTTTTTTGTTTGTTTTGGGTTTTTTTTTTTTTTTTTCCTAGTTCGGTCCAATTGTCTGCAAATTTAGAGATGTCATTGTTTCTTACTGCTGAGTAGTACTCCATTATGTAAATGTACCACATTTTCTTTATCCATTCTTCAGGTGAGGGGCATCTAGGTTGTTTCCAAGTTCTGGCTATTACAAATAGTGCTGCTATGAACATAGTTGAGCAAATGTCCTTGTGACGTGAGCGCATCTCCTTTGGGCATATGCCCAAAAGTGGTATAGCAGGGTCTTGAGGTAGGTTAATCCCTAATTTTCTGAGAAATCACCAGTCACAATGCTGATTTCCACAGCACTGTACAAGTTTGCACTCCTGAGTATTAACTTTTATAAGAGAAAATCGTTGCAGAATATTTGTTTAACTATGTAAAGATATGTTGCATTTGTTTATGTAAAGATGTGTTGCTGTTTTACTTTGCGTGCCTAAGGCACCTGATTGGTCTAATAAGAAGCTGATGGCCAATGGCGAGGGAGCAGGTATTGGTGGAATTTCCTGGCAGGGAGAATAACTAGGAGGAGGAACTTAGGCTTGAAAGAAAAAGAGACTATAGGGAGACACCAGGGGCCCGACAGAACGACAGACATGGAGGAAGCAGGAAAGTAGGACATGCGAACAAAAGAAATGTTTAAAAAAAAAAAAAACCCAAAAACAAAAACAAAAACCCAAGGCAAAACGTAGGTGAAAAGAAACAGGTTAAATTAGGTTAAAAGATCTATTGGGGCAAGCCTACGCCAAGGCGGGGCTTTCATAATTGTTAGTGAGTGTCCGCGTCTTTGTTTGGGAACTGGTTGGCAGTCCAAAGAAAATGCCAACTATACAATGTCTGTTTTTTTACATTGTGTGTGTATGGGGTGTCTGTGTGTGTGTGTGTGTGTGTGTGTGTGTGTGTGTGTGTGTGTGTGCAGCTTGTAGATTGTAGGATCCAGTTCTCTCATTCTAACGCATGGGATGCAGGAATTAAATTCAGGTAACTGGACTTGGAAGCAGAGACATCTCCCTGGGCCTCCTAAATGCTTACTCCTATATGATAAAAAGATCTTTGAGTTAAAACTGGTAAACAGAGAAGAAAATAAAACCCACAAATATAAGTGAAGATAACAGTGTCCCTCATTCAATCATTGAATGATACAAGTAGAACCATGATGGTCAGCAGTGCAGTGAGTCTTACGCTGCGTCTGTGTTGTGTGTGCATGTCATCCATAGGCCAGAGGTAGACAGCTGGCATCTTCCTCCTCAGTCTGTCTCGCACAGAACCTTAAGCTCATCAATTGTGCTAGACTGGCTAACCAGTGAGCTTCATGGATTGCCTGGTTCTGTGCCACACTCTTCCCCAGCACTGGGTTACAAATGGGAGCTACCATACAAGCTTTTGACATAGGTTCTAGAGACCTAAACTCGTAGCTGCAGGCAGTTTTGACTGAGGAATCCTCACACGCCACCCTCTTTGTTAGTTTAATCTAGGTGGCATCTGTGAAACGCCACAACAAAAACAGGTTTTTACTTAGCAGACATTAAGATATTTGCTAACGTTGAACATATCAGAACACATAAAACAAGTCTGAATAATACAACAATGACCTGTACTCTATATTAGCTCATGCGACCATAGCAAAATATTGTATAGCCTTGGTTTCTTAGACAACAGAAATTTATTTTCTCTGAGTTCTTCTGGAGCCTAGAACTCTGAAATCAGATGTGTGGGTGGACTGTTGCCAGACTGGCTGACACAGTTAAACGTGAACACCTCAGTGTGTGAGGTTCCCAGCATTGTTCTTCCCGACGCTGGCTCTTACCTGACTTAATTCTTGCTATTCTACACACACACACACACACACACACACACACACACACACACACACACACCAGTTACATGATTTGCAGGTGTTTTCTTCTGTCTTGGTATAAGTGGCCGTTATTTATTTTTTTAAAACTGTTGTTGGAAACACAGATGTTCTCTTAGAGTCTTCAACCTATCCTCTCTAAAATCGATCCCTTGGTGTGAAAATCCCAAAATTACTCTTTACCCAGCATTTCTCCTTCCAGATTTGTAACCCAAGAAAATAAGTAAAGCCAGGTGTTGGTTCATGTGTCTTTAATCCCAGCACTCGGGAGGCAGAGGCTCTGAGTTCACGGACAGCCAGGGCCACACAGAGAAACCCTGCCTCAAAACAAAAGAAAGTAATGAAGGGTGGGTGTTGAGAGACTGAAGATGAACTGCCCTGGAGTGCATGGTTCCGGGGTCAGAAGCGCTCTTGACTCTTCTCTCAGTTGGGAAGAGAGTGTCATTCCCACCCCATAGCTTAGCATTGTGGAGCACTCCTCTCCTGGCTGGCCTTAGCATTGTGGAGCACTCCTCTCCTGGCTGGCCTTAGCATTGTGGAGCACTCCTCTCCTGGCTGGCCTTAGCATTGTGGAGCACTCCTCTCCTGGCTGGCCTTAGCATTGTGGAGCACTCCTCTCCTGGCTGGCCTTAGCATTGTGGAGCACTCCTCTCCTGGCTGGCCTTAGCATTGTGGAGCACTCCTCTCCTGGCTGGCCTTAGCATTGTGGAGCACTCCTCTCCTGGCTGGCCTTAGCATTGTGGAGCACTCCTCTCCTGGCTGGCCTTAGCATTGTGGAGCACTCCTCTCCTGGCTGGCCTTAGCATTGTGCCTGGCCTTGCTGATCTCTTTCTTCCATTTTCCCCACAGGTCTCTTAATATGGACTTTGAAAACCAAGATAAGGAGAAAGACAGCACCAGCTCTTCTGGGCCTTTCAATGGCAACAGCACCAATAACAGTAAGGCGTGGCATGCCAGTCACCCCGCCCCACCCCACCCCGCCTGTCCACAATGTGCTGTCCTCACCTGGCCTCTCTGACCCTCCAGTTAATCATTCCATGGCTCTGTTTGGTAGAACTGTAAGGCCTATCATCTGCTACATTTTTATGTTGTAAATCTGAACCCACTGGCTGACTGCTTGAGCCCAGTGGTCACTACTGAGCTCTTCCCTTAAAGATATGGCTAATGGCGCCCAGCCCGGGCGTCTGTTTTGCAAGATTGTTAACTTTATCTTGAGGGTGGTTTGATTCAGTGACTGAGAGAGGGCATCCAAGTACTGGGAGGAAAACTAAGTATTGGGAGTGTCGCCTGATTTCGAAGATCTTTTCTTTTTTTCTTTCTTTTTTTTTTTTTTAATAGAGGTGAGTTTGTAAGAAATTATTGTATATCCATACAGTGGGATGTTAGTTCATAGTTCATAATGAAGTGGGGGGCGGGGAGATGGACCCCTGCAAGCATGGGGTCCTAAGCTCCCATCCCCAGCACCCGTTAATAATCCAGACATAGTGGCCAGGGCAGGGAGGGGGTGCAGGGGCAGGATGGGGGGGATGCAGGGATGAGGGGGGCAGGGGCAGGATGGGGGGGGCAGTGGCAGCATGGGGGGGTGCAGGGATGAGGGGGGCAGGGGCAGGATGGGAGCACCTCTGGGGTTTACCGGCTCGGGAGCCTGCCCTACTCTGTCAGCTCCAACTATAGTGAGAAGCTGCCTCAAACTAAGTACACATGTGTGCATGCACTTCGTGTGCACGCATACTGTATATACATGCCATATTCATGAAAATAAGCTTCTGGTACATGCACCAGTACACGTGAAGCTTGTGCTGTGCTAAGTAAAGGAAGCCAGGCATGGCTTCTGTGTGAGTCCGTTATGTGAAGTCGCCCAAACAACAAATGTGTCTGGACTAAAAGTGAATTAGTGGTTGCCTGGGGATGGAGAGAAGATGAAAAAGAAAGAAAGAAACCAGAAAAAAAGAAAAGAAAACTATAGTGTAGTGATTACAGATATTGTAAGTTTTACCAAAAAGTGGGTTCTAAAATGGATTGGTTTTTAGGTGTGTGAATTCTCCCTGCGTAGAGTTAGAGAAAACACGGGGCTTGTTGTGGGAAGAGGTGAGGACTGAGAAGAGATAGGGCCTGGGTTGACTGGAGCAGCAGGTGCCCCCCACCACCACCACCACCACGGACGGTAACGTTTACACGGAGTACTTTCCATTTACTCGTGTGTTACAGCGTGTGTTACATTTACTCGTGTGTTACAGCGCCTAGAGCTACTCCCTCCCTCCTGGTTGTTGAGGGTGAGGGTGTGGCCCGCACCTAGCAGCTCAGGAAGACAGTCTCTGGAGAATGACAGGTCTGACGCTGGCAGAGACACAGCATTCCCAGAGAGGGGACTGTGTGATCTCTGACAGGAGCAGAAAGTGAGCACGACATGAAGGACAGGTCTTAGAAAAAGTTATTGAGCGTTGACGGAGGGCCACGAATGGTAAGTTGGAAAGCGACCACTTAATGCCATTTTTTATTTAGTTCCTTCATGCTTCATAAAGTCACCTAAATGGGATGAATCTTAGCTGGGCAGTGGTGGCGCTCGCCTTTAACCCCAGCACTCAGGAGGCAGAGGCAGGCACTGAGTTCAAGTCCAGCATGGTCTATAGAGTGAGTTCCCGGACAGCTAGGACCACACAGAGAAACCCTGTTTGCAAAAACAATGATCTTGAGCAACCTGAGATGACCTTTAATGTCAGCCCTTGAGACACAGAATCAGGTAGGGTAGGTCTCTGTGAGTTTGAGGCCAGCCTGGTCTACATACTGAGTTCCAGGACAGCCAGGGCTACATAGACTCTGCCTTTAAAAAAAAAAAAAAAAAAAAAAAAAAAAAGGGTCTTTTGACAAGGCAATAAGCTCTGTGTGTGAAATAAAGTTTGTACCAATACTTCCTAGAAACCGCACAGAAGCCAGTGTGGAATCTCACTCTGAGATCAGGGTGGCTTCACTCTTGTCTTCTGTTAGTACTTACAGCCCGTCATCTACACCCCGTGACTTTGTTCTCCTCTCCCTCCCTCCCTCCCTCCCTCCCTCCCTCCCTCCCTCCCTCTCTCTCTGATTTTGTTTTTTGAGACAAGATTTCTCTGTGTAGCCCTGGCTGTCCTGGAACTCACTCTGTAGACCAGGCTGGCCTCAAACTCAGATCCATCTAACTCTGCCTCCTCAGTGCTGGGATTAAAGGCGTGTGCCAACACTGCCTGGCTTGTGACTTTATTTCTAAAGTCCTGTATTATATAGCATGTATGGAAACGGGTAATTAAAACATTATAGTCTCTGGTACACTGCATCACATAATCTAAGAGAAGTCTGCAGTGTGTCTCAGTAAAATCTCACTCAACACACAGTGGTAAGAAGTAGCTACCTGCTAACACCAGTGTTTAGTTGTTGTTATTTATCAGGGTCAAAGAGAACAACCATACACCTCCACAGCACACAGACCCCGAAGCCAAGAGGGTGACTTTCTCTTTGATATGCTGTGGAAACTATTGAGAAAGAAAGTCAGCACTCAGCCTTGGAGTATCCCACCGTTCTAGGATGAAGGGACAGACTAGAAAACAGGCCACCGCCCTGAGTGGAAGCTGGAATAAGGAGTTCTAAGTTGCTTGCCTTGGCTGTCAGGAATTTCTAGATTGTTCCTATTGAAGGAGCTGGAAGAGTTAGAGATAACAGGGGTTAGATCAGCCATGTGACCCACACCAAAACACCAAAATGTATAATGGTAAATGTGTCTTCCTATAGGTTCCTAGGATACCTGACCAAAGACTTGGGAGTTATCACTTCAGGTTATGAAAATGCTCTCTACCTGTTAGCCAAAGGGTACAAGAGCCCTTCTTGAAAATGTCGCATTAGGGATCAGGGAAGGAAACTGAACTGCCTGAAATAGCATTCACAGCCAGCCAGGACACACAACCCTCTTGGAGCTCTGGAAGAGTGTGCAGTAGTTGGCCTAGGACTCACTGTGTAGACAGTGTGGCCTTAAACTCATAGGTCCACCGGCCTTTGTTCTCTCGTGTCCAGCCCAGTCCTTTGTTGGTAGTAAGGTTTTTTTTTTTTTTTTTAAGCCACATAAATGTCATTGCCTGACATCAGGCCTTGCATAGCCTCCAGGGACATACCTGATACCTGGTGAAGGAATAAAGAAAAGACACGCAGGAGGAAAATGTGGGATAGGGTAGACTGAGTTCTCTGTCAAAGAAAGTGCAGCCTTGAAGCTTGTGAGTTTGTTACATAGAGTTGAGTAGAGAGGCGGGGTTGTTGCTTACAGCACAACAGAGAGGCACAGTTGACTGTCTACAGCTGGGTCAGGGAGGCAGGGTTAGCTGAGCTCAGTTGGAGTTGTAGGAGAGCAGTCAGTCCTCCAGGAGAGCACAGCCTCCTCGTGCACTCCCAAAGAGCCCTTTGCCATTCCTCTGAGCCTCAGCAGGGAGTTCCCATGGTTTGAAGCATTGGGCTGCCCGGCATGGCTAGCTCATGTCAACACACACCTCCATTGGGCCTTTCTCCGCTCCCTGCACCAGACAACTGGAAGTCTTGAACTGTGAAAATTGGAGGATATTCATTTGGAAAGAGTGCATATCTTTAATCTCCCCGTTTTGACATTTCTCCTAACCCATCCTGGTGCCTAGTCTATGATAGTCATTGATAATAGTTAGTCAAAGACAAAATCAGCAGGGTAACAACTGTCGTTAACACTGGGTTCTCACTGTGTGCTCCGTAACCAGTGTGTATTTTGTCTGGGGTTATGTTCCCTGAGAGGAAAGCAGGAGGGTGAGGAAATCCAGGTCATTCTCATGAGTTGGAGGCCACTCTGGTCTACATAAGACAGGGTTCCAAAAAATAAAATGTCATTGTATGTAAGTTTTAATACCATAATCACGCCCTTCTACCAGGTTGACTTTAGTTCTAAGATAATGCAGTTGGGCCTGTGTAAACCTTTGTGATTGTGGTTGCTATGTTAAATGTCTTGCTCTGTTTCGTTTTGCTTTTAAATTATGAGAATTTGGCAAAGCGTCTCATTGGCTAGCCCCTCCCCTACAGAAAGGACCATACTCTGGCGGCACTGAAAGAGCTGTACTTGCCCATTGACAGCTCTTGGTTTAGAATCTGTTTTCAAAGAGAAATTCAGTGCACTCCAGCACCCTCAGATGCTTGTCAATGTGTGCCTTCCTTCTAACAGGCATCTGACTCTTGTGTAAGTCGGGGTTCCCTCAGAGTCACTGTTTAGCCACGGATGATGTTGTTCTGATATGATATGCTTGCCTCAGCTCACTGGGGTCTTCAGCAGGCAGCACACTTGACAAACAGCCGATTGCATTTGTCTGTAGACCACAGCATGCTTTGTTTTACAGGAGAGGAGAGAGTGTGAACCTGGTGTAGGTTTGTGGTTTAAAAGGGGTTTTGTTTGTTACCTAGTAGCAAAGTCATTTATGTTCAAGACAGTTGTTACTGTTCTGTTCTTTAATTCTTTGAAGGTGTCACAGAGCTTTGGCTCCTGTGTGGCATGCTGAGGGTAGACTGTCCTCCAGCAGGACACTTCCTGGGTCGTACCTGATTGTCATCCCCCTTGGTCACTGTTCCCAAGTGAAGTTACCCGTAACACTTGGCCATCACCTAACCACTAAGAAGTGCCTTTGTTTGAGGGAGTATTTCAGGATTATTTCCCCTAAAACTGGGTAATTCTTGGGATAGGCAAATTTAAATGCATAGAGACGAGTTTTTTTGTTTCTCATCTTTAAGACAAGCTTTCCTTGAGCTATAGTCTCCCTGCCCACATTCCTCAGGCATCGGGGTTATAGCCTATTTCTGTTTGTTTGTTTGTTTGTTCTTCTGAAAAGGTGATGCTTTCTTTTTGCCCGGGGTGGGGGTGGGGGCCGAATCACACAGGCCCTGGGGGTGGAATTCAGGACATCGGGCTTGGCACCTGTGTCTTTGCCCAACAGTTCACTCTCTCGACAGCCACATTTGTGTGGAGGGTATGGGCACAGGAGTGCAGGTAATCATAGAGGCCAGAAGAGGGTGCCAGACTCCCAGGGGGCTGTCAACAGAGGCAGTTGTGAGCTGCAAGGTCAGGGCATTGGGAAGTGAACTCGGCCCTTTGCAAGGGGATGTCCTCTTAACCCTGAGAGGTCACCCAGACCTCAAGTCGTGTTGCTAGATGTTAGAGTGTCATTTCCAGCCCTTTGTGTCTGTCTACCTTTCCTCCTTGTAGCCTTAACACAGTTTTACTTTAAATAACCCATTATAATAGATGTGTGACAGTGTTTGATATGGCACCTCAGTGGGATTAATTAAGGCGATGGCGTACAGAACACACGGGGGTTTCCCCCTTTCATTCACCATCGGATTTTGCCACTCCCTCGTCAGTCATAGTCCCCAACTCCAGGTACAAAATAAAACTTTTCTGTGTAGATTTTTAGCTAGAGCTAACCCCTAGAGACTTCATTGTAATTATCTAAGCATCTTAATGTTTAAACATCTCTTCAGAGCCAGCAGGGGGCTCAACCAGGTAAAGAGAAGATTTGCTATTTCCAAGCCTCATGCATTGAGTTCAAGCCATGGCACACCCACACACAAACACAAAATAAATAAGTAAGTAATTATAATTTTAAGTAATGAAAATCTCTTTAGGTGATTCCAATGGACAGCCAAGAATTATGAACACTGAATGAGGCTGGAGAGATAGCTCAGCACTTAAGAGCACTGGCTGCTCTTGCAGAGGACCTGGGTTCAATTCCCAGCACCCACATGGTGGTTCACAACCATCCATAATGAGGTCTGGCGCCCTCTTCTGGCCTACAGATGTACATGCAGGCAGAACACTGTATATGCAATAAATTTTAAATATTTGTTTATACCCTCTTGGGTAGAATGAATTCTGGCCACATACTGAGGTGTTTCTTTGATGCTCTGTTACTTTCCAGTTAAGTTCTTAAAAATCCTTATGCTGTGAAAACTACATAAATGGAATGTAAAGTATCTGAGCTTAACTGGCAGTTAATAAGGAAAGAAAGTGTGGCTTAATAATGCCTCAAGGAATTATATTTACCAAAATTACTGATAATACATATAATTGTACCTGTTTAAACATGCACACATATTTGTGACAATACTCCCCACAAACCCCAGACAAAACTAAAATTCACTAGTGCCAGGCCAAAAAAAAAAAAAAATCTGAGCTCTTCTGTATGCCTGAGGGGTGATGTCAGGTCATTGTTTAGACTCAGGTGTGCAGTAAATTATGAGGGGCGGGTAGTATGTGGCCATCTTGCCTGTTAAGAAATAAGTGGTAAGAGTTGTGTTTTCTCTCGTTCAGGTATCCAAACAATCGATTCCACCCAGGCCCTGTTCCTGCCCATTGGAGCATCTGTCTCTCTCCTTGTAATGTTCTTCTTCTTTGACTCAGTTCAAGTCGTTTTCACAATATGTACAGCAGGTAAATTAGCTTCATATATACGAAAAGGGGAAAATTAGTTTTAATCATTGTTCAGATATTATGATGTGTCTGTCATGCCTTGCAAATTGTATCTTCGTCAGTCTGAAAGAAAGGCAGGAATTGGAAAACTCGAGCATCAATATCATTTATAACCCAAAGGTCTTGGTAGGCATAGGCCATTGCGTCCTCCAGTAACGTGACTGCCAATAGAAGTATTGACAGCTAATAAAAGAACGGCCAGCTTTCCTGCAAGGCCTCAAGCTAAGTAATGATGGGAGTACAGGAAAAATTAGCCAGTTGGAATACTTTAGGTGCCCAGCTCTGCCTGCTGCTTGCTCTTCCCTACTGGATTAAGACAGTAAGAAAGTCTTAGAGCCATGCAGTGGCACACCTTTACTCCCAGCAGTCGGAGGCAGAGGCAGGCGGTCTGAGTTTGAGGCCAGCCTGGTCTACAAAGCTACAGAGAAACCCTATCTTAAAAAAAAAAAAAAAAAAAAAAAAGTCTTTAGGTAGTAATTTTCTCACTTGTCAAAAAAGGTATGTTGGAAAACTTTTACATGAGTTATTTATTTTTCTTATGATTAGTAAAGAAAAAGTTTTTAATAAAACGTATTTCCTTCCCTAGTTCTTGCAACAATAGCTTTTGCTTTTCTTCTTCTCCCGATGTGCCAGTATTTAACAAGACCCTGCTCACCTCAGAACAAGTAAGTTCTTAGGACTTTCCTCTAGGTTATAAGAGTGACTGATGGGAATTGGCTGGAATACAGATGGACGGATGGACGGACGGCCAGCCAGAGATTGGGGGTTTAGATGTCTGGCCACACTTGTTAAAACTGGAAGATAAGGGCCCCTTTGTACCTTTTCATGGCAGAGGAAATACAGACAAATCTTCAGAAGTGGGAGTCTGTGTGATCTGCTTCCTGCTTAGCCAGATTAGGAAGGACATGAAGTTTGTGGGTAGCAGTGAATTCAGAACCCTGCTCGGTGCGCCGTCTGCACCCACCCCCGCCTCCGGGAGCCACTGCTCCACGGAGACCAAGGGGCATGCTGGTGGAGATGGTGTCGACACTAATCAGTTTTTTTAGCTGGTCTTTTAGAAATTAGTGGTGACCAAGTAGATTTTCCCATCTTACAAATATTTTATCATTGCTAAATGAATGGAATCTGTTCCTTCTCTCCATTTTATTTTCTCTTCAAGGATTTCCCTATGTTCAGCTCTCCTAGAGACTAGTGTTACATCAAATGTTTAGAGACCTATGTTGATAATTTAGCATAAAAAACAAACTTTCAGACCAGTGGGTAAAAGTGCCTGTTGAGCTAGCCTGGTGGCTTAAGCTTGACCCTTAGAACCTGTGATGCAAAGACAGGCAGGCAGGTTCCACAAAGTTATCACCTGACCTTCACACACAATAGTAGTAATAAATAAAATGTAAATTTTAAAACTGAAGTAAATGTATTACCAAATAAGAGCTAAAGAATAATTTTCTTAGATGGCTCCAACAAGGCTTGGGGGTCTTTCAGTTTCCCAGATAATTTTTTACACGTTTCCTACAGTTCTGGCCAGCCATCCTGAGCTCTGGTCATGAAGAATGATGGGAGCTTTTGGTTATTGAGCGCAGAGCGCCCCTCAGTCCATACATTGTGTGTTTCAGGATTTCCTTTGGTTGCTGTGGGCGCTTCACTGCTGCTGAGTTACTGTCCTTCTCCCTGTCTGTCATGCTCGTCCTCATCTGGGTTCTCACTGGCCACTGGCTTCTAATGGATGGTGAGTAACATGGCAGGTTGTGATTATACCAGCGTGACTTCACAGGCCATGGTTCAAGTGCGGGAACCCATGTGAATTGCAAAGAAAAAAAAGGAGATTACTGACCAGAGGTTAATGCAGAATCAGACACCGTGAATGCATGGTGTTCTGACAGTGTGCACACATGTTGTATGTAGCATCATGTGCCTTCACCAAATTCTTGGTCCTGCAGACACAGCAACCCCTGCCTTAAAACACTTTGCTCATAATGCCATCTGTGTTATGATGGAAGTGTTTCTGCTGTAATACAAAGTCTTCTCCATCACAGAAACATGAAGGTATAATAGATCTTTTCCTGCTGTCATTTCTCAGCATGTGAATATTGCATTATCATAGTGTTGTGTTGTGTTAAAATACTGTGTTTTACACTTTCTGTTTGACCCAGGCAGAGTGGCACATGCTTTGTTTTTTTTCCAAGACAAGGTTTTTATGTGTGGCCCTGCCTATACTGGAGCTCCTTCTCTAGACCAGGCAGCACATTCTTTTAATCCCAGGACTGAGGAGGCAGGAGGATTTCTAGGAGTTCAAGGTCAACTGGTCTACAAAGCAAGTTCTAGGTAGGAGTCGGGGCCATACAGTAAGACCCTCTCAAAAACTAATAAATGAACAAGTTCTGGCTTGGAATTAGGACAGAGTTTCCAACAATTTCTAAAGTGGTGCTAAGCATATGTCTAGTATGTTGTATTGCATATTTATGCAAAGCAGCATTCTTGGCATGGACGGTGATCAAGACAGCGATCAACTCTAGGAAATATTGAAGGCATCTTTGTAGACAGTGTCATATAGCCAAGATTTGTTTTGTAAAACATTGTCAGGCACAGACTGTATTAGTATGCAGATTTCTTGTTTCTAATGGTAACATTATATGTAAACCAAAGAATTGTTTAAGTTTAGCATTCATTGTTGGTGAATGTGTGCCTCATGTAGCCGTTTTATATGCCTGCTATCCCGGGTCATGTAAAATTCATTGAGCAGAAGGGAGCTGCCGGTGAGGATGTGCCCTGCTGTAGATTAGCCCGCACAGATACAGTCCTGCTCCTGCTTTCCTCAGCCTCCCCAGCAGCCGCCCCTCCCTGCCAAGCCCTGGCATTTGCCAGTCAGCTTTCCCAGGCTGCATCTGATGTCTTCAGTTGGCAAGATGTCCTTAAGGTCACCAGCCATAACCTTCCTTTTGAAGACTGTTCCAGGGACCTGAGTGCAGTTGTCAGCACACACATGGGTGGCTCACACATCCTGTAACGACACTTCCAAAGGGTCCCACCCTTCTGGTTCTGCAGGCATCTGCACGCTATGACATTCATCCCCCCAAAATAGTAATTTTCTGTTATGCACAAGATGCCTACTAAAAGCGGAGCGGTGGTGGCGCACGCCTTTAATCTCAGCACTCAGGAGGCAGAGGCAGGCGGATCTCTGTGAGTTCAAGGCCACCCTCCAAAGAGAAACCCTGTTTCTGAAACACCCCCCCACCCCCGAAAAAAGTGTACTAAAGACAAAGTGCGTTTTAGTGCTCATGAGTAAGGGATGCGGTGATCTCAGGGTGTTTCCCATTATTACACCCCCTCCACTATTAAACATGCATACTAGTGAGATGCGGTACTTACTTTACCAAAGTATACATCCCGAGTGCTTTCAGGGTTGACCAGCATCTTGAGTTTATTACCACCAGGGCCAACAATGCTGTTTCACAGAAACACTCTAAAAATGACAGATGGTGTTCGGGCAAGATCAGAAACTGTTGGAGATTATGTCATGCTCCCAACTCCAAACACTCACTGTTCTGTGAGAGCAGAAAGAAACTTGATGCGTATAAAAACGCTGGATGTGTGCGGATGCCCCATGAGGTGTGTGGTGGCACACAGGCGGGCACTCTGGGGGCCTCCCGGTTGTCATAGTTGGGTTTTTACTCATTTTTGACTGCTGTGACTAATATTTTGCTTAAACATGATTTAAGAAACTAACTTTTGTGTAAATTAGGTCAGAGAAATTGTAGGAGGGCAGCTAGAAGGAGGGTTATTGGCAAACATTTAAGAGCAAGATGTTGCAGATGCTGCATTGATGGGTTAATGAAGGAAATGCAACAGAGGACTGATTGCTGGAATGGTGTCTCAATGAAGTAAGGGACATGACTGGAATAAGCTGGCCCCTCCCCTTTTTTTTGGGGGGGGGGAGAGAGGGTCTCACTCTGTAGCTCAGACTGGCCTTAAATTCAGACATCTGCCTGCCTCTGCCGTGCTGAGTGCTGGGATTAGAGGTGTGAGCCACAGGTGGCTGCAGTACAAACAGTTGTCTGAAATGAGAGCTCAAGAGCTCTACAGACTGAGCCCCATCCTCCCCTCCCCCAGCTCTGGCCATGGGCCTGTGTGTCGCCATGATCGCCTTTGTCCGCCTGCCGAGCCTCAAGGTGTCGTGCCTGCTCCTCTCAGGGCTGCTCATCTACGATGTCTTCTGGGTGAGTGTCTGTCTGTCCGCTTCCGTAGGAGCCCTGCTCCCCTGTGCCTTTAACTGGAGCCACATACCCTGACCCTGGCGTGCCCACCACCCTAGTGAGCCCTGCTGCTCTGGGGCTGCTGGGGTTGGCCACGTACAGGCATTTGTCTGTGATACAGCAGGTGACTGGAAAGGCAGTGTCTGGGCGTGGAAAGACACAGCCTGCAGGCCCGCACAGGAGGGGAAGGGTCTGAGCGGTGAGGACAAGGAGGAGCTGCTGGCTAACTCATGGCTTCCCCTTTAGTCACAGTGGTCTGCTCATGTTGGCAGGTGTTTTTCTCAGCCTACATCTTCAACAGCAATGTCATGGTGAAAGTAGCCACACAACCAGCTGACAATCCCCTAGACGTTCTGTCCCGGAAACTCCACCTGGGACCCAGTGTCGGCCGTGACGTGCCTCGCTTGTCTTTGCCTGGAAAATTGGTCTTCCCGAGGTAGGCCTGGCCTGTGGGTTTCGGCCCTCAGTGACCATAGCTGCCTTCTTGTGTCTTCTGGAAACAAAATGCCCACAGCTGCACCCAGGAGAGGACAGGGTGACGCTGATGCCCGTCCCAGCGGGGCAGCTGTGCGCGGCTGCTACTTCTCTTCCCCCCAGGGTCAGGGAGCCGTCCCTCACTGTGCCACCACCTCCTCCGGCTTCACCACCTTGGGAAACAGCCACCCTACGGGGCAGCCTGTATTCAAAGCAGGACACAGGCTCTGTAGACTTTGTGCTTACTCACCTCTAGTTCTGTGTCCATATGACCTGAGAAGACTCATGGGATTAAATAGGCCACTGAGAAGACTGTATTTCACAACTGTTGGGATATTCTGTAGACATCTAAACCACCTACATTTAGATCAGCGGTTCTCAACCCCATCACAGAGGGTCACATAGCAGGTAACCCACAAATATGACATTTACACCATGATTCATAACAGTAACAGAATTACCGTTGTGAAGTAGCAGCGAAAATAATTATATGGTTGGGGTCATCACATCATGAGGAACTGTATTAAAGAGTCAGCATTAGGGAGGTTGAGAGCCTGGAGTCTCCCCACTTTGTTCCAGTCAAGAGCAGTCCCCGAGAGCAGTCCCCGAGAGCAGTCCCCGAGAGCAGTCCCCGAGAGCAGTCCCCCAGAGCAGTCCCCCAGAGCAGTCCCCCAGAGCAGTCCCCCAGAGCAGTCCCCCAGAGCAGTCCCTCTAGTGTTTGGAGGACCGAGCTGGGCCCTTTGAGTCTCACAGCACAGACTGTCCTGTGGGAAGGAGAGGCTGCAGAGCCCAGGGCTGCACTGAGAGCCACCAGCTCCTCAGCACAGGGGCAGGACCACCTGCTTACACCAGCTAACTCAGTGTGGCTAAAGCCAGGCTTTGTGATGTGACTGCTCCTAGTCTTCACGCCCTGACAGTAGCTTATTCTCAAAGGCCCCACCTCTAAAGGCGGCGCCCAGTGTCAGCCCTCTGTCTGAGGGAATGGCAGAGTGAAGGCCGTCTCCCCACGCCCCGCTGCATTTGAGGCTTGTGAGCGAGCGCCTTGTTCTCTCTCCTGGCCACTTGGCTGACCCTGTAGATGAGACCCTCCCTCCCCTCCCTCCCTGGGAGTTGGGACAGGGCTCCTGTCTCACTGCTGACACACAGCCTTTATGTTGCTCTGTGCTTTTCAGTGGTCCTGGCATCTCACGGGATCCCTGATGCTCGTTCTTGGTCACTCACTCAGACTTGTCCTTCAACACATCAGAGACATTGTTAATGCCATCCTCCACCTTCACAGCTGGATGGAATTAACAGAATCGCTTTGGGGTTTTTTTTTTTTTTTTTTTCCTGAGACATTTGTTAAAAAAAAAAATATGTTGTCATGGTAACAGTCTCAGTGACACAGTCTTGGCAACTGGTGTGCTACTTTTTTGTCTCTGATGTGGTAGAGACAATAAGGGACTTCTAATAGATTTGCCTAAGTGACAGTAAAAGACACAGGCGCACATAGACCTTAGCTAAGGAGTGTGGTGTCAGAAGGGAGTAGTTGCTAACAAGGCCTCCTAGAGACAACTTGGGATGTTGGGTGTAAAGGTTTGTTCACCAGGGCTCTCCAGCTGTTAGGCCCCCAATCCTCTAACAAGAGTCAGACTAAGGAGCAACTCCAGATGCCTGCAGGATCATGACCACCACATCCCTTGTGCTCTTAGCAAGAAAAGCGTAATTGAGTTAGGTGTGCAGGATGACCTGGGTGACAGCTACTGAAAGATCAGCACCAATGCACCCAAAATGGCCCTAGCTTTGCCTAAGTTAAAAGTTATCCAGGAACCAAGAGAGATTTGTGGGTGACAGCATGAGGCATGAGTGATGTGCACAAGGCCTAAGACGTAAGTTAGTGCCGCCCGTGTTCTATTGGCCACCTTTGGACAGTAGCCTCCAGCTGCCTCTTGCTGCTTTATTCTCTCGCCTTACTTCCCCAGGTGTGGAGGGATCCTCACTGGGGGAGCACAGATCTCACGTGTAGTCCCACGAGTAAATGTCACAGATGGTGATGTTCCCATAGCAGGTCACCCAGCACTCACTCTGTGCTCCCTGGAAACAGCAGCTACCTTAGAGATTGCCGAGGCCAGTGCTCAGAGCTCCTTGCCCTTTAAAAGCTGGTGATACCTTACACGGTGGCGCATGGCGATAATCCCAGCAATTAGAAGGCTAAGGAAGAATGTAGGTTTGAGACCAGCCTTGGTCCATAGCAAGACCTTATCTCAAAAAGAAACAGGCTCAGGCATGGTGGTACACACCTTTTAATCCCAGGATTTCTGGGAGAGCCAAGTGGAACTCCATGAGTTCAAGATGGCCTGGTCTATGTAGTGAATTCCAGGTCAGCCAGGGCTACAGCGAGACCCTGTCTGAAACCAAGAGAAACAAGCAAGTAGAGACACTTTTACTGGGGGAGGGAGGAGACCCGGGGCTAGTATGGAAGGAAAATGAGAAGAGCAGCTTAGAGTGTGGCGCGCCTGACGTGTGGCTTGTGTTCCAGCTCCACTGGCAGTCACTTCTCCATGCTGGGCATCGGGGACATCGTGATGCCCGGCCTCCTCTTATGCTTTGTCCTTCGCTATGACAACTACAAGAAACAAGCCAGTGGCGACCCCTGCGCTGCCGCGGGCCCGGCTAACATCTCTGGGCGCATGCAGAAGGTCTCGTACTTCCACTGTACCCTCATCGGGTACTTTGTAGGTAAGAAAACCGGCAAGACGGTGGCCCGGCCCCCGCTCCTTCCCCAACCCTCGCGCTGCCAACAGACGAGCAGGAACCTTGCTTTTAACCAAAGGGCCCTTGAGGGTGTGTGCCGTGTGCTGTGCCTGAGACATGTGGAGATAGAACATGGCCAGTTCTCAGTCCAACACACACAGCATGCTGAGGGGCTAGCTGCAGATAAACTGTCCTGTTTACCTCCATTGTTTCCAGTGCACACGTCACCTCTAGCCCACACAGAGACCAAAACAGGAAGACAGACACCGTTGTTACCAGGCCAGAAATAGAAGCATACACACACGCGCTCCTGGTGCTGCAGAAGTACAAACGCACCTCCCCTTTGCTGACCCGCACACACCTGAGGCTCCAAGCTGGTGTTGGCCTGCCTAGCAAAGAAGGAGACCAGACCTACCCTCCGCAGAACAGCCTGGGGACAAAGGCTCTCTCTCCTCGCCTGGCCGCTCAACGATGTCTTCTCTCCTAGGTCTGCTCACTGCAACTGTGGCGTCTCGAATCCACAGAGCCGCCCAGCCTGCTCTTCTCTACTTGGTGCCCTTCACCTTACTGCCGCTCCTCACCATGGCCTACTTAAAGGTGAGGGTGCCGGGCGGGCGGGCGGGGGGAGCCGCCGGGCGGGCGGGGGGCGGGGGAAGAGGGCAACTTGGGTGTAATCACACTGCGCTCATTACGTCACCACATTGTCACAGGCATCATCCTGCCAGGACATCTTGCTTTGGTAAAAGCAGCCCCTAGGGCCAACTGCACTGCTGCTCCTGCAGCCCCGGCTCTCAGAAGGCCTGACGCAGGAGGACTTTGGGTTCAGGACCAGCCTGGGCAACTTAGCAAGGTCCTGTATAGAAGCTGAGAGCCTGGAGCTCTTAAAGGCCCTGGGGTCTC